CCCCAAAACCCCAAAACCCCAAAACCCCAAAACCCCAAAACCCCAAGTGATTAATAATAAAAACTTAAGTAAAATAAAATAATTATTGAAAATTATAAAATGTTATATATTTAATGTTAAGTTCGAGTATATAATTTGCATATACTTATTATTTCTCATTCGTTTAGCTGGCATAGCATTGCTGCTGCTCTTAATGTCCAAATTCTAGGTAGTTCCTTTGTCTGTATCTCTACTGCAATAATAAAGTTTGTTGACTATCCGGTAGTTGAGAGGACTCCTGCACGAACAGAAGTTTTATAGACTGGACATGAATACTCTTCCGGGTCTGCCTTGTAATCTTCTTGTGGTTTGAACCAAATCAAAGGCATCTTTGAATACATTTCACTCTATTAAGAAAATTGTAAATAATTAGAAATGTCTTACAGGGTATTGATCAGCCATCATTTGAGTCTCTCTGTCGTAACGAGCACCATCCATATATAGACCATAGATATAGACACCGTCTTCAGGTGGCTCTTCTACTTCAGATGGGTCCTCTTCTAGAAGTACTTAGAAAGAAAATTGAAGTTTATCAATAGCAATCTTGTAATTTCTGGCATGAGTTTGCAAGCAACCAGTCATAAATCCTTGTGGGAAGAAGAACCCTGAAAGCCAGAATGAGTTTGGAGGTCCGTTATTTAGCCAGTCTTGCATGAATACAACTCTTTCTAGTAGATCCTTGTACCATGTAGCTAGAGGCTTTAGTGATGGATAAGCTACTTTTTCCCAATTCTTTGGCACTTGATTGTTTTAGATGCTTACGTACATAGAATCAAGCTCTTCACTCATAACGATGAATCCTTTAATGGCCTTCTTGAGCATCATAATTGAATTTCTCATGACACTGAGTAACCTATTGAATCTTTGCATTTCTTGTAATAGCACAGTAGCTAGAGAGGAAATAAGGCCTTACTTGTCAGGTTTAAACATTTCCTTTTTGCCCGAATTCTTATCAAGCAGGGCAGGCAATATCTTTTTGATTTCCTTTGCTCTTTCTTTGACAATTTCATCGGGAGTTTGACCACCAGCTACAGAACTGACTCTTGGCTGAATACTCAAGATAGTTGCTACTATCTTGTCTGACTCTTGGTTTTAATAGGTGATGTTAGCATTTTCATGCAAACCGAAGACCTCTGGGTTATCAATCAATGATAGAGTGTCGATGTATTCTCTATACGAGTCAAGTGGGCCGAATGTTGGAGCATAATAAGTACCTGACTCACTGAACTTATATCCATCTTCTAATATGTCTGAGTTGTAGTACTTTTTAAGTATACTGATGAGACATCTACGATCCCAATCATCTGTAACACGACCTCCATAGTTAATATGGCCAGTGACATAGAGCAGAGCATCCCAAGGAATATCTTCCTATTCATCAAGGAATATCTTAAGCATGGTAATTGAGGTTTCAAGATCAGAGTCATTGAACTCATATCTAATGTTCCAACCGAGTGGTCCGAATTTTCTACGTTCTTAAATCAATGCGTGGAAGAATGATAGACCAAATAGCAGTTTCTTCCAAGTCTCAGGCTTCTTTGAGTCATTGAAAGTGGCCTCTGAAAAGTCTTGATATGTCCTCTTGAGATTGGCTTTTAGTCCTCTGGGTGGCTCGGTTGTGAGTTTCACTCCGTTTTGCAATACACTGACTGGGAAATAGTCTGCTGGCATAGATGTTAGATAAAGTCTGAATTCATTGTGGATTTCTCCTTCTTCATAAGCAAAATTTATTACTATGTTTTCTAATGAGGGCATCCAAGATTTTGCCAAATGACAGTTTTAGAGCATAACCCATTCTCCATTCTTTTTAGAGGCTTTAATCAGGGCTTCTGCTTTTGGTCCTTAACCTTGACCAAGTGATATAACGTTCAATTTTTCTCCGAATCCTTTATCTTTGGCAAACTTAATAAGTGAGGAAGTTGGATCAGCACCTTAACTGAGCACGAAAATAAGTGGAGTCTTGACATCAGTGTCAGCATAGACGACTTCCATAGTCACAGATGGACTTTCCACGAAGAACTTGCCTATTTCATCAATGACATAGTTTTAGAATGCGAATAGCAGTTTCTCAGGCCTGAATGCTTTTAGGATGATAAGTTTTTCAAAGTTGCCTAGTTTCTCTGCCCATTCAAGAGGCAATGGTTGCAGATGTGGATCTCCCTTTGAAACCCAATCATACCACTCCTTCCAATTTTGGATGATAGACTTGCAAAGACCGCCGAATGAGGCAGTTTCATTTACATCAATGAAGTATAGCATCTCCCAACCGATAATTGATATGACCTTTGGATCTGGGTTTTTTAGTTTGTTTCTTTGCTGCTCTACTGTCAGTGCTCCTGATCCTCTAAGTAAAATGTTCCATTAAGTATCCTTGATTTTTCCAATGTTTCGATTGATATTTATGATTATGAGGAAGGAGTAGATAATTTTATGGGCCTCGAAAAGACCTCTTGACACGTTGGTGTATATCATTCTTGTGATGTTATCAATTAAGATGTCTAGTCTTTCTTGAAGATCTCTACATTTTTTGCTTTTTTCTATGGCTTGATTGAACAATCTCTTGATATAGGCAAGTGAGTACTGATACATGGGATCAATACCAGCTAGATCAGCAATAACGAAATAAAGGATACTTCCTCTGATGGCAACTGATCTGTACTGATTTCTGGTTTTGTTGATCTCCTCTTCTACAATTAATGATTGAGCCATTCTCTCATTGATCTCCTTGGAAGTTTTCTTGGAATTTTCTAGCACATTGATCAAGTTATCCTCGTCCAATATCTATTCTTCAGTTGACTCTGAAAGAAGCTTCAAAATAGTGATTTCGATTTATTTCAGTGTTCTTTGATCTGAGTCCATAGTAACGACGATTTCATCACGCTTCTTTTCAATCTCTGGTTTTTCTTAAACAACCACATCTCCAAGTAACTGTTCTTCAAGACCACTGAATGTAACAGTAAAGTTAATGATTGTGACCTTGATGCAAACCTCAGGCAAGTAGTGAGGGTTGGGCATTTTAGTTGTCATGAAGAATTTGAAATTATCATCATAATCCACATTGGAGTCTCCTAATCTCATTTGCTTTATGCCTCCTTCAGTCTTGAAAGCCTGTTTAAGCAAAATTGGATCAATGGAAGGATCAATATATTCCTCTAAATCTTCTACAATCGTAGGTCTTCCATTACGTACTGCTCCACTAACCTCTCTGAGGAAGTTATTAGTTCCGAACTTAAGCTGCAATAGATTACCCTTCTCCATATTCTTGATCCATTTATTAGCTTATTGCTGAGGATCAATACATAAAGGCCATCTCTAGGCTTTAGTAGCTAGAATACCATTTTCGATTGAGACTTAATCTGTGGGAAGACCTGAAATGTTCCAGCCTCTGATTACGACAGGGTCTCCCATAATCTTGACTAGGGAGAAATCTTAACTTGTTGGGATGCCTTTGTCTAAACAACTAGAGACCCACTTAGTGACTAAGTTTTGTCTGTAGAGACCAGTGAAAGCTCCATAATAAGAAATACAAGCGCAGGATAAGAATACATTTCCTACCAGTTGTTCTATTTCTAGAGATATATTGGCAACAGTTTCCTTCCATCTAACTCCCTCGTCAGCCAATAGCACGACAAGCTTCTCAGCTCTGCCCATTCTCTTCTCGCACTTGTCCATATCATTTTCGAGTCTCTCTTTTTCATCTTGCATTCTTTGGCACTCAGCTTCGAGTCTAGCGACTGCTTCCTTTACCTTGTTTACCTCAGTCATCTTTACATTTAGTTCAGCTTGTGCCTGTGACAGAATAGATTGCACCTCTTCGAACTTCTTCTTCTTAGGCTCTACCTTTTTAATAACACTCTAGAATTTAGAAACTGAGACAACCCACATACAAAGACATTTGGCAGCTTGAGATTTGCCTCCAACGAATTCGGGTTCAAATTCTTTCAACTTCAAGTACTTTGTTCTGACTTTTTGCAATACACTTTCAGGGGTTTTAGAAACATCATAGAACAGAAGCTTGTTGATGAAACCTTGAGTATCTCCCAACACGATTCTGACATTGTTCCAGTCAGTCTTTTCTCCAATTAGTATCATGACTGCTTCCATAACCATAACGACTGCTGCTGGTGGATTGGGGAAAGTCTTGATTTCAACAATAGCTGATTTATCCAATGTCTTTAGTGCTGCCTCAGCTGCTTCAAGTTCTGGCTTTGCAGCATTAAGATCAGCCTCAGCATCATCTGATATGGCTTTAGCCTCAGTAGCTTTCTTGTTAACAATTTCAGCTTCTTAACTGACTACTCTTTCCTTTTCATTGGCTATCTTTTTATCAGCATTGACTTTGTCAAGAGCAATCTTCAAATCTTCATTCTTCTTTTGCAATAGAGGTTGTAGTTCAGTGAGTTTAACCTTAAGTTCTGCGATTGACTTGTTGGTGTCATTTAGTTTCTTGAGACCTGTTGCTAAACGGTTTTTGTTCAAGTTGTACTCCTGTCTCTTGACATCCAAGGTGTTGAGATACAGGGAGATTAGATCTAGGTAACTCTTTGGAGTGGTGTAGACTTTACGTCTCAACTAAGCAAAGAAGTTGTCTGCTTCCTCTTCCACTGAAGTGTGGATAACCATACACATTTCAGAGAGTGCTTGTCTGACTTCCTCAGATGGAAGGTCTAGTTCCTTAAGGAATTCAGAGCTGACATAAAGCAATGCCTCCTCTGGCCATCTACTGAACCAATCAAGAGTACAGCAGTTAACGAGTGATGGGAACATTCTGCATCTGACTCTCAGAGTATCTCCGACTGGTGACATACAGAGTGTAATATGTAGGTTGTCTCTAACTCTGTTGATGAAGGTTTGGTTGATGACTTCAATTGAATCTATCTTCTTCATTTCAATAACTACTGGTCTAACTCCATTAATAATCTTATCTCTATCTTCTGGCAACATTAAATTGGGAATTTCACCAGTGTTGAGTAAGTTGTTGATATCTTCAAGGAAACTTTCATTGATGATTTAAGTATCAGTCATGATGAAGCAGAACTGCTTGCCATCGATACCAGTAGTGAACATCAGCTCCTTCATAAAGTCCTTGAATTAGGGCGGTCCGAAGTTCTTAGTGATTTCAATTTGCTTGCATTGAATATCCAACATGTGAGAACTCAATCTTGTTAGTGATTATTTACCTGAACCTCCAACTCCAATAAGCATGATGTTACCTCTAGGCTGTCTGAGGACTCTGACGATTCTCAAGATATGCTCAATAGCATCATCAAAGAACACTAAGTTCATTTTGTTTGAGTTGCCCAAGTTGTAGTCATCGAGCATGCCATTTAAGACCTTTGTCAGTTTGGCTTTGTCCTTAATCTCCTCGTACAGTCTGACTGGAGCGTCAAGCTTTAGTAAGTTACCAAACATAATCTTCTCTCTATGGAATACCTCATCATGGTCCATTTACATTCTGAAATTTCTTACCATAAGTTCCATAATCAAAGCAGTAAACCAAGCTTTATCTTCGTTATTAATCAATCTATCGTAGAAGACTCTCAGGCACTCATTAATCCAAAGTCTGGCTAAGGTTTCAGGCTGTTAAACTGAGACTGGCTTGACCATCAAGATGCCTTGGAAGACCTTGGAGACGTCTCTTAAGTTGAACAAATAATGGAACTTCGCAGGTGTAGCTCTTAGTTCCTCTGATATTTTCATATATATTTCGATTGTTGAGGAGACTATGGCCTCGTCCATTTTTTAAATCTAGTCTTAGAAACCTATTTTGAGGAAGCCTTAAAGTATAGAACCAAAAATCTTGGAGAGTGTTGTCCTGTCAGCATTTGGAAGACAGAACATGTTAAAATGCCTGGTGAATCTCATTGTTAGAGGTGATCTACCACCACCTGGAGGGGCTGATGCTGCAATCAAGGTTGTGTCTTCGACATCTTTCCAAACCCATTCATCTCTGTCATAGAGTCCTCTCTTATCAATGAAAAGTCTAAGTAATTCAATAGGAGGTTGAGCACCGTATTACTCAGTGGCTGGCATGTTAATATCATCTACAAATATAGCAATCTTTTTGCCTGGAGGAGCTCCAAAGAGTGTTCTTTTCTTCTTTTCAAGCTTATCTTCGATTGACTATTGAGTTCTAGTGGATGAGGTCTGGGCTGAGAAATTGATAAAGATTGGCATTATATCCTTTTCTTCTTGGAATTTAGCCAAACTATTTGAGATAACTACAGATTTTCCGACTCCTGTGTATCCTGTGAAGAATGATGGCTTCTCCTTTGATAAAAGAAGATCTAAGCAGTAACTATACTTATAGGTGTCAGCAGTTGGTACGAGTAATTCGAAATAAGGTACTTCCTTGTCAAATACGAATGCTGGGACTTTGGAGCTCCAAGGTTTGAATGACTTGTCTTTTTTAAGATCGAAGAAGTAGTCGAAAACTGAGTTGCTGGGTGGAATTTAGACTCCCTTGAAGATATCTCTGACAATATCATCGAATCTCTCCTTACTTCTCTCATCAAGTGAGGCACCAAGACCCCAAGTGAATGACCAAGCATAGATGTTAATCAGAAGTTTGCGCTTTTCATCGTCTGTGCCTTTAAATCCTTAGCTGGGGCTTACAAAGACTTCTAGGAAGTTACAAAGGGAAATGACTTGTTGAATATTTGCTGTTGGGATTGGTTCTGAAAGTAGATCTCTAATCTTATCTTGACCTATGTCGATTGTTGAATCAAAGACTGAGTAAAGATATTCCTTTAGTTCATTAGTTAAGATATCCTCACTAAAGAACTTTTGAATCCAAGTCTTAACATATGGTCTCCATCCAAGTTCTTCGTAAGTCAAATAAACCATACCACATCTTGATACTGTAGCAGGGGAAGCGACTGCAAGATCTTAAACTTCAAATAAGATTCTCATAGCAGCTCTAAGTTTAATTCTTTGGCCATTAGCAAGACAGAGTGTCATGTTATCATCTAGCACAGTGTTCATGTTTTCGATCCAAAGTGCGTCGACTGGCCCATCAAACACTACCCAGGTCTTTTCTTCTCCTAGCTCTTAGGCAGCGGCTCTCATGACTTTAGAAGCGAGCCCATCATGCCACTCTTATGAAATTGGGTTTACTTCTCCATATAACTCTCCCATAGAAATAGATTTAGGGTTAAGGATAGTTTTCTTAACGAACTGGAATCTGTCATCCTTAGAACCTTTTTAGTTCAGAGTAGTCATAGTGTGTTAAAGAATATTATAGCAAGCAGTTTTGCCACCACCAGTTGGACCGACAAGCATGACTCCGAATCTCACATTGAATGTTTCGAATAATTGGATACACTTGAGGATGAAAACAGGGTTGAGCTGGAAGCCAAAAGTTTCAATTGACTCTTCAATTTGAGTTTGTAATTCACCATAGTCTGATTCTGTGATTTCAATAGATGGGAAGAGATCTTAAACAATTGCAGAGAACAATGGAAGATCGTCCTTGAGGAACTTAGGAACATTGGAATCTCTCATAGCTCTGATTAGCACGGCGTCTTCGTTGAGATTGGGGTTTGCTCTCTTGAGGGAACCAGCCATGACTAGCACTGACTTGACAGCTCTCATACCAAAATCGTAGTGATCTTATTGTGATAGCTGCTCTGATGAAAGTTTGTAAAGCTGGACCATCTTTTTGGATAAAATTTTGGCATTTCCGAATCCTTCAGCAAACAACATGATCTCAGCAATGAGACCATAATCTGGTATCATCATAGCGACTGGTCTGAAAAGCACTTTCAAGTTATCTGGAAGTTCAGTTCTACCTGCATAACCTGGATTCATTGTAATGTGGACTCCGAGTGAGGGTTGAAGTGGAATTTCCTTGCCTTCGAATAAGAAATTAGGTTGATTTCTAAGAAGGGCTTCTCTAATTGTAAGAATTTGCTGAGCAATAACTGAGAGTACTTCAATGTCAATACGATTGAACTCATCCAAGCAAGTCCAAGCACCTTGTTGTGCGAGTCCACTGAACAATCTACCCATCATCTTGTAATCGACTTAATCTGAGCAATTAAACACAATACACAGCATTCCGAGTGCCTTAGCCAGATCCTTAGTAGACTCAGTCTTTCCAGTACCTGCTGGACCTGCAGGGTTTGCTCCGAGTTTAATGTGCAATGCTCCAGTAATAGTAATCCAACATCTATCAGTAAGTGGAGTAATAACCAGTCTTGATGTGGCTCCCATATATTCATAACCATACTTGAGAGAGGCATTGATCTACTTGACTCTACAGTCATCAGCTTCTTCTTCCCAATAGTATCTTAGTTGTTGTTGCCAAGCAAAGTCATAGACTGAACTCACATTTTCCTTAAGTAATCCCTCTACAATATCTCTGGCATGCACATCAGTGGTGACTAGAGCGACAATGATCTTTCTCTGCAGTGAGGTGAGTTTGCCTCTAACTAACTCAGTGAGCTGGGCAAGTTGAGTTTCATTTAGATCGTACCATTCTTGCAAGGAGAAGGGGTTGTTGCTCATTTCATTGATGTAGTATTCACTGGTAGAGCACCAAGAGATCTAAGCGATAGTGGCGACTACTTGACCGTAGTGAGTTAAGACCCATAGTTTTCTCTCAGAGTTGGCGTAGTCTGTCAGACCTTGCTTCATCAGTCTCCACAGAGTGTCTCTCATGGCTGTCTGCACTAGGTCTAGCCATTGCTCAACCAAGCCTCTTACCTTTTGCGGCTTTGAGAAGGGAATTCTCTCTCCTTCAAGTGAGCACATTGCTTGGATATCAATACCCTCTGAGATATCAAGTTTGACAATGTTATCAAAACAAGTCTTAAGATGTTGCTGGATCACGTCCAAGTTTTGTGAGTTAGCCAGAATTTCAAGCAGTTCATCATTGGATAAGAAGTAGAATCTGGGGAATGCAGATCTCTTGTTTTCAAGATAGTCCTCTAGCTTCTTTTGAATGTCATCAAGCACATCGTTATTGGTCTTCAGCTAGTCTAAGAGGTTTGGACTGTTCTTTACTGTTCTGAGAGCGTTTGGAGTCTTGTGGGTTTTGTTCATTAGTTGCTTGAAGAACTTGTCTACTTGCTCGAAACGCTGACTCTCAGTTGGGAGTTACTTCTTGATATCTGGGGCTGCGAAGATGTTCTCCAAATAGATCCATTGCTTCTAGCAGATCACCCATTCTTCGACTACCTGATTCAGAGTGAAGAGGTTCTTCTTCCAGGTTTCTGCCTCGTTTCTCAATGGCTTTACATATCTTGAACCCATAATGGTATTGACCATAGCCATACCTTCATCCAAAGCAGCGAATATATCATCGATTTCATCTAGAATATAGGCATCCTTGTCCTTGTACTGCTTGGTCACAAAGTCAATCTTTTTCCATGTATCTTCCAACTGTTGAATCTGAGCTCTAAGAGATGCTTCTTAAGAGGCTTAAGTGGAAATAGCTGTGATATCTTCTTGATACTGAACTGCATTCAAATCAATCAGAGACTGTAGAGTAAACTCTGGATCTGAGATATCAAAGTCAGCTTGAATCAAGTCCTTGATCTCCTTCCAGTGGTGCTCCTTCAGATTCTCATTTCTAAGTGCTACGACAATGGGCATTGCACCCTTGAAGGTGTCTACTAGCTCCTTGAGTTTACTCTGGATTGGATTTTCCTCGAGATTTTTCTCAAGTCTAAGGCAGATCTTTGCGTAACCGTCGGCTTTTTAGGCGATTTCCTTTGCTTGAATGTTGTTGAACTGAGTCTTGATCCATTTCTCAGTCAGCTCTTCCCACTCCTTAAGAGATCTCCACATGATGCATCTTAGTGACAGGTCTTCTCTTAACTAGTCTAAGTTGTCAAAGATAGTTGGCTGAGTTTGCAAGACTTCTTGCCACTGGTTGTACTTCATTGACCTATTCTCGAGTTCTTTGAATCTCTGCTCCAATTCGTCAAGTTGTCTGAGCATGTCGAACATGTTTGCTTCTCCTGAAAGGAAGATAGGGTTTCTTGCTTCATCATGGAGTTCATTAATTTAGTTGTTAAGTTATGGAATCAGTTCATTAAGTGTCTTTTTAAAGGTTTCCATATTAGCATCTTATTAAGACTCAACATTTGCGACAATAGTGGACAGTTAAGATATATGCTATACACATTCAGTGTAGTTATCCTTGTCCTCTTTCTTGACTTTAAGTTGGAATTCAGCAAGGATGTTATAGAATTGACCGAAGAGATCGACTCTATCTCTGTAGTTCTGGAAGTTCTCATTGGTGTAGTTCATATTGTTGTTCTGCTCGACAAAATCCTCAACTGTGGCTACTGGCTTTTAAAGGTCTCTTATTGATTTTTGAAGCCATTTTTTACTTTCATCGGTTCTAGCTCTGATGATCTTAGGAATTAATTCTTCTATCTTGGCAATAAGCTCCTTAGCTGTGGGGAGAAGTTTGCTCCTGCAACCCTTAGAGTCTAATTGAACTAGGCCGAGTTCGGTAGTTGAAGGAAGTTAATTAGTGTAAAGGTTGTTATAATGGTTCAACAGCTTAATGGTATGTGACACAGACTCTACTGGGTTCTTAAGTCTTTCGTGAACGAGAATATTAATGTCAAACTGCTTGTTTCTCCAGTAAATTTCTAGTAATGGTTGGAATCTTGTTAAGAATCTTTGTGCCTTTTCAAATGCTCCATCGATTATCTCTCTGACCATTTCTTTTTAATCTTGGTATAGTTTGTTATCTTGAATCCAAGAATATGGATTAAGCACTAGTGAATCTGGCTCTTCCCAGACTTCTCCAACAATATCATCCCATTCTTCAAGAGCATCAGCATAAGGGGTTAGGTCATTGTGCTTGCTCCATCTCTCAAAGACTTGAATTTAATCAAGTCCACTGGCGAAGCATCTAACAAGTACATCTATATAATCATCTGCATCTGGGACTGTTCTTAACCAGTACTCTTGGATCTTAGGCACAGTGCTTTTATACTTTTGAACTTCAAGCATCTACTAATCATCTGCCTCTTCTTCTTCCTCTTCACCAGCTTTCTTTTCTTCCTTTTCTGGTTCAAGCTCAAGATGACATAGCAGATCGAACTCATGTTCTTTTGAAACTCCTGATGGGGGTAGTCTGAATTCAGCACATTCAACCATCTCTATAGCATGTTAGGGGATAGGTTGTTTATCGTTAAGTTGAATAGCAACATAGAATAATGGTTCGCGACCTCTTTGAGGTGGAGCTGTTTGCCTGGATTGCTCATCAAACTCCATAGTCATTATTCTTTCCATATCACAGTTTTCATCTAACTCTTCAAGTCTTCTGATTAGATCTCTTACTGATCCAGTATAAATGTTTGCAAGTGCTTCTAATGAAAGGAAGTCTACAATATAAGCGAATCTTAGGAATCTAGAGCATTCCTTTCTCAAGCTGCTTCTATGGCCGTAGGTCATGCCTTCTGGGAATCCAAGTTTTTCAAAGACATTGTTGCTAGCTTTCCTCTTCATAGTGATGGTATTGGAACTTTAAATGGGGTTATTCTTCTTTCTCTCCTCATCCAATGCGATCTCACTGACAATTCTCTCTCTTAGCTCGCTTAAGACTTTAGAGATACACTCTCTAACATTGTCTCTTGACTTATCGCTGAACTTTGAAATCTCCTCTGAGATCAGTTTTCTTCTATCTTCTTGAGCCTTTGCAAACTCCTCGATAGTCTTAGTATCGGAGTTTCTCATTGAGTCAACAAATCTTAGCTTCTCCATCTCGAGCATGTATTGTCTATGCTTCATAAGATGCACACTGAAATGATCTTAGAGCATGAATAGTTTCTCTTCAAGGGAGTTTTGTGCTTTCATTCTGTTTTGATGTTTGATGGTTTTCTTCCACATTCTCATGAACTTCCATCTCTTGAATTTCTTGAAGAAGGGCAGTTCCTTGATGTGATTATATGAGTCTCTTTCAATGAGCCACTAGCCAAGGGATAAGAATTCTATTGGAGTGTCGTTTTCATATAGTGTGAGACCTTTTCCAGATAAGGTGTAATATTTCTGTTCATTTCTTTGTTGATATGAACATACTAATAGATCGTATGGATCTCCATTTGGGTTTGGGTTCAAGTAAACAAACACAGTCTCCTCTTCACTCTTGCTATCTAGCAGTAATTCAATGTATTTATCCAAGTCACTCCATTTCTATGCTTTTTCCTCCTTCTTTTGGCCTTGACCCTTTTTGTCCTCAACATTTGAATTATTTAAATTTTATCTAAACTCTCTATCATCAGCTCTACTCTTACTAGATACTGACATAGTTCCCTTCGACTTGGCTCTTTTTGTTCTGGGCGAGTCTTTGCTGATTGGGGGAAGGACTTAACCTAAGCCACCTCTCAACTCTGGGGGTAGTTTACCAGTGAGTTTGTCTAGGAGGAACTTTGTGCGTGCTTGCTCCAGATTCTTCTGACTCAAACTCACACCACCTTCAAATCCTGCATATACCATTGCTGGTGGACCTTATAAAAATTTGCTTTGCTCAATTTAGCTTTGGTTTAGAGTTTGGTTTATTCTGAATCTAGTCTCTGCATCAATAGGTGGTACATCTCTTGGATTGTGCTTTTGTGTCTTGCTTAGCAGTAGCTATTTATTATTAAACATCATCAAATCTTAAGCTTAGTTGGCTCCTCTTAACGATCCTTGTATTCTAGGAACCATACTGAAATTGTCTCTAAGTCCAGTAACGGCACCGGCATTAAAGGATCCTGATAGAATATTCTGCTAATTCTTATAATATTCGGCAGTGCCTTCTCCAAGATTCTTAGCCTCAATAAGAGCAGCTTCTTGATAGCTCTCATTCATATTTTTAATCAGATTGGTATTTAAATCTTAGATCCTTTTCTTCAGTGGTGATAAGCTTTGTATTCTATAGAAAAATATTAATTTGCAATTGCGATGGATTAGTTATGTTACTTGTTAGAGTTCATTCTGGCTGAGAATGGACGAGCTGACATATTATCTTCAATGGGCCGTTTAACTGATGGCATTGGAACGTTTGAGATGCCGCTGTCATATAGTCTGCGTTTCAACTCATTTCTCTTTGCTTTATCAGCGACAAAATTGTTCAAATCAATCTAAAACATTATTTTAGCATGCTTTTGCAATGAATGCATTATGTTTTACTCGATTATTTTGATCGTTTGATATCCCTCTCTTATTCTGAGGGAAGTTTGAATTCTACATTTAGGTTCTCTTTTTTCTTAGAATCTAAGAATATATAAAATTAATAATTATTTTAAATTTATTGGTAGCTTTTTATGAAATAACTATTAACAATAAATTTTATGTCTATGGGGTTTTAACCTTAATTAATTTTGCAACTAA